GGAGCAAACAACTAACGCAATTAGACAGGTCCCTCAAGGTGAAGAAACGGCTGACGGAACTGATCGGTTGCGCTGACGGAACGGAGCGGAGGCCTGCCAGTGGATTCAGATTAGCCTGTTATAGAGGGCGTGCCGTGGGTGTATGTGGGATAGGTCTACATACAGGAAGGGAGGGAAGGGGGGGACGTTGAAGGGGGAGGAGAGAGGAGAATCAGGGAAGGAGGAAGAAAATGGGAAATGAGATAAGGGGACGAAGAATGGAGGAAGGCGAAAGGGATAGTAAGGGAAGAAAAAAGAAAAGAGATGGAAAGGTATATAGATGGACAATAATACAGGTGAAATTATATAGCTAATATATGGATCGATAGATTAAAAAAACATACAAACTATAGAATGATAAATAAAAATAAACTGAAAACGGTGGAGCGACAGACGTTAGGTTGATGCTACTGTTCTCATGCTAACCCTGATGAATTTCTAGGAAAATTACACTGAAAAGAAAAAAATAAATCAGATATTCCAAATTGTATAACACGTCACCCCTTAACATGCAACACCACCCAAAAAATGAGGGCCTAAACCTTATATTATCGGTGTCTCTGTCTGGTGATAGCGAGGTGGCAGACAGACTCAAACTGACGTCGTACGTCATTCTCGCATCATTATGTCAATATTAGGGCTAGGGAGGGGGGGAGGGAGGGGAAGGGAAAAGGGAATGGGGATGAAAGGAGGAAAGGGAGGCCAGGGGAGGGGGAGGGGTAGGGAAGGGGGCGGAGGGGAGGGGAGGGGAGGGGAGGGGAGGGGAAGGGAGGGGAAGGGAGGGGAGGGGAGGGGAAGGGAGGGGAGGGGAGGGGAAGGGAGGGGAGGGGAGGGGAAGGGAGGGGAAGGGAGGGGAGGGGAGGGGAAGGCAAAAGGGAATGGGGATGAAAGGAGGAAAGGGAGGGCAGGGGAGGGGGCGGAGGGGAGGGGAGGGGAAGGGAGGGGAGGGGAAGGGAGCAGAGGGGAGGGGAAGGGAGCGGAGGGGAGGGGAAGGGGAGGGGAGGGGAGGGGAAGGCAAAAGGGAATGGGG